AGAGGGGAAATAAGCTTATTGAAACACTTTGAATCTGTTCATGGAACCAACTAGTACTAAGCAATGAGTGTAAAGTTTCTTGTTCACAGAAACAACAGCTTGCCCCTGACAGGATTTGAACCCCAGTGGCTAGCAATCGTTAGATTACTAGTCTGACATGTTAACCACTTGGACATGACATTAATTTGACCTTTGCACTACAGGTCAAAGTTGTGAATTTTGCTTCTATTGTCCCCTTTGTTATTTATTTATTCTTGCTGTAATTATTTTCCAGGTATTTATACACTCTACTAAGGATCCAATTGTAGATCACAGCTTAGAAATTCTTCACGATGGACATTGGTGTCTGTACTGTCTTACAAAGAAGGGATGCATATATAGGGTTGGAAAGGGTTGTGATAAAGAGCTTGCCAGGTAGGAGCTTAAATAACATTTCTGTATTGAACAGGGGAAATTACTTTATCTTTGCCCTGTTGGAATGGAAAGTTATTAACCTTTGTCATCATAAAAGTCTAGATGTAGAATCAGGTACCTTGTACATCAGTGTGCAGTCAAATACTGTTGACTGACTAAGTGTCCATATTGATATACCAACTTTGGTAAATTGACAGTCCCTAAAATGGATCCTGGTCAAGATCATTTAAGAAATTTAGTAGGTTTAGGATCAAGGAAAAATCTGTTGGAAAAATATTTCAGCTAAAGATGATTGGTTGGATATATTTAGCTTTTACACATAATTGATTGTACCTTTTCTAATATTAAAAGTACAGCTTTTCTGATTGTGCAACCATAACAGCATCAGTAATTTCATTCTGGAGCAAAGAGGATCCAGGCGTCTTCCTACACTTTAAAAGGTGCTAAATGCTTTTATACTTGCATTAATGTATTTGTAACATAGGGTTACATGTACTTCATAGAGCAGGTGACACACACATGAGGTATGACACTTTTTATGCCCCCTTTGAAGAAGAGTGGGTATATTTCGGTTTTGCTAATGTTGGTTGGTCGGTGAGTCGGTCTGTCCGTCATAGACCACATGGTTTCCACTGATTATCTTAAAAACTATTTATTACAAAGTCTTCATATTTCACATACTAATTGGTCATAACTAGTAATTGACCCTACTGATTTTGGGGTCACTGGGACAAAGGTCAAGGTCACATGATCCTTAAATGTCAGAATTTCTGCTCATTATCTTGAAAACTATTTATCACAAAGTCTTAATATTTCACATACTGCTTGTTCATCACTAGTAGATGACCCCTATTGATTTTGGGGTCACTAGGTCAACAGTCAAGGTCACAAGGCCTTGAATGTTAGTATGATTTCTGCTCATTATCTTGACAGCTTTTTATCACAAAGTATTCATATTTCACATATTGAATAGCCATATGTAGTAGATGACCCCTATTGCTTTTGGGATAACAAGTTCAAGGTCAATTTCACAGGGGCCTTAAATGGTAATATGGTTTCTGCTTATTACCTTGAAAACTTTCTATCAGAGTCTTCATATTTCCCATATTGATTAGTCATAATGGGGTCTTAAATGTCAGAATGGTTTCCATTCAAAATTTTGAAAACTATTTGTCACACAGTCTTCACATTTCACATATTGATTGGTCATAACTATTAGATACCTCTTATTGATTTCTGGTTAACTAGGTCAAAGGTCAAGGTCAGAAGTGCCTTTAATTTCAGAATGATTTCCACTTATTGTCTTAAAACTATTTATCATAAAGTCTTCATATTTCACATACTGATTGGTCATAACTAGAAGATGTCCCCCATTGACATTGGGATCACTATGTCAGAGGTCAAGGTCACAGGGGCCTTAAATGTCAGAATGGTTTCTGCTCATTATCTTGAAAACTCTGTATCACAAAGTCTTCCAAATTCCACATATTGGATAGACATATATATAGTTGATGACCCCTATTGATTTTGGGATCACCAGTTTAAAGGTCAAGGTCACAGGGGCCTTAAATGTAAATATGGTTCCCTCTTATTACCTTGAACACTTTCTATCACAGTCTTGATATTTCCCATATTGATTAGTCATAATGGGGTCACTAGTTCAGAGGTCAAGGTCTTTATATTTCACATATTGATTGGTTATAACTAGGTCATTATTTTTTTCCCATAAGTGAACACTTCCATGTACACATTTATGGCAAACTTCTATAACAGAATTACTAATAATATGAGTCAAGGGCTAGAAATGGGGGCATATGTGTTGTTTAACATTTCTTGTTAATTTTTGTTCAAACTTTACCATTTATGATTATGCTGGTGGATTTCTCAGAAATCATTTAATCAGATACTTTCTAATTATGTCAATTCTTGATTGATATGATTTTTTGGACCAAAAAACATTTACATGTTATCATAAAGTTCATTAGCTTGAGATGGGTTTAGTTTGCACTTTGCAGGTATGGTTGGCAACTTATACTAAGCAAAATTTTAATGATCCATACAATTCTGAAAGAAATGTATGATACAGCTAAATGAAAACACATTTCAAAATGGAATCATTTCATACACTGACAGCAGTTTATAGTTTATATAAACTTAATTATTATCAAGTCAAAAGTGATATAAAACACATTCAGTAGTATACAAAGTTCATGGTTGTAAAACTAAAGAGACACTAAACTATTTTCATGCTAAAACAATTGTTAACACATTGTCCTGCTTGCCAACAGATTGAGTCAAATTAAATGTAGCTTTGTGAAATCTTTACCATTATTTATGAAAGTTGTAAATCCCTTTCTCCATGCAAAACCATTCTTCCTTCCATAATTGTAAACAACCATTATATAACTTTTTGTTGTCCAGTCCTTTCTGCCAGTAACATTTTTGAAGCACTTACTGTATAATGATACTGAATAAGGAAATTCATGTATTTACATGTGTGATGTCAAGTTATCAATTGAGGAATATTGTATATTTAGTTTCATGTATGAGTAATATGACTGGTTTCCAGGAAAGATGACAATGCATATAATTATTATGTGCTTGATATGGTACAAAATATGTCAGTGACTTTAAGTTATAGGATACATGTGCTGACTTTATCTTCAAATGTACTCATATTTATAAGTAAATGTTTCCTGCATTGATACTTATAATGACCATTTCATATTGAAGTTTTGCTATAAGGTAATGAGAAGTATGATTAAAGTTCAAATATCATCACTATTACTAAATTATCTTAATATTAAAGATATGTAAGATAATATGCAAAGACACGTTTTAAACTGTTTAAATGTAGTAACAACATTGAGCATCCTATGTGTATGACTGAATAGATCAGTCTGTATACTGTTGATTTATCAAGTTCAACAGCCTGATATCAAAGTCCTTACGTTGATAATGAATGGACACCGGTAGTTCCAAAGTCTCATAAAGATTATAACAAGTGATTGCATAGATGGGAAAGACACATTTTATTCAGATGTGTTCAAAGCTAAACATTCCCACTTTAGTTATCTAGCATGGTAATAGTCTTTGGTCTCTTATGTACTATATGTGTTTCAGGCACAAAGGCCCACCTGAGGATAATCAGTCAGAGATATTTTCGGATCTCCTTGGGCCTGAAGAATTGGATGATGTGTTTCAACTGCACATGTCAACACAGCCAGTCTATGTTCTGAATGATTCAGACATTATCATTAGAAACCTTCAGTACCCTATAGCGCTATGTGTTTGCTCTAGTCATATCATTGCTATTACAGAGGACTCTGTGTTTTACACATTGTCTCTGTTTAGAAAACAATGTAATACAAATACTGCAGAAGGCATAGCTATACTTCCAAAAAGCTCTGGCCATGGTGAAAAAGATGTCTGTCTAGCATCTGGTCTGATAAATATTATTACATGTGATTGCATGGATGGGAAAGACACATTTTATTCAGATGTGGTTATTATAGATGTAACTTTATTCAAGCAATTGTTTGGTGAAGAAACAGCTCTTCTTAGTTCTCCAGTGTTGATGGTCAGTAAAATAGATGGAACAGTATGTTATATTCCATTATCATCTTTTGTTTCAAGTCCAGATAACTCCTTAGTTTCCAGTACCGAAAGTTACAGGAATACATGGAGTATTTTATGCTGTATGTCCGCAAATGTTGTAGCAATCACTACTTTAACAGTACTAGAAGATCACCGACCTACTAATGAACACTGTAAGAATGCCTTATGTATATGCGGATGTGATGGTCAAGTGGTAATATTCTGGAGTGAGGATGGTAAAACAGAATATATCATCTCTGATGTTTCCATTTGTAGCCCTGTGCTTAGTGTTCAATCATTTCACAATAAGATATATAATACTAATGGATGTGCAATATTTGAAAGTATAGTTGAGATACCAGCAGATAGGAACAGCAACAGTTTGACTAGGAATGGACAGCTTCAGATATCGGATACAAACGTAGTCAGTAATGACAGTGTGGCTGTTATTCATGCAGTATCTTCAGATGGATATGTGGAGTCACAAGGTAATAATGATTTGTTAGTTTGGTTAGATTTTTTAGCCAGTCTGATAATTCATGACCATCAAAATTATACTTGATGGAATTTATAAAAATTTGACTTGCTGTAACTTTGTTATTTATAAATGGATTTGGTTTATACTCAGGAAAAAACAAGATTCAGGACTAATCTTACACATTATATTATTATATGGCAATAAGCTTAAGACATTCACCGTAAAAGGCTTGTATCGTTCTTTTCGCATTTGGTAATAAGAAACAGTCAAATGCCACCCTGGCTTGTCGTGGCTCTTGCATTATAAATTATAATAAAAAGTTAAAGTTTGGTATTACAGATCTGCACACATAGGGCCAGTATCATAAGGGTAATTAATACGGAACATGTTTCAGACAAGTTTCATGAATTGGTGCCTTCGGTAATTGAAACAATAGTATTGGTTATTCAAACAAATGTACACTGAGGAATAGATTTAACAGCCATTGCCATACTATTGTCTAATCATGTTATGTTTAATAACATTGCTGGCATATGGTAGTATAGTGAAATGATGATCTGTAAAAAAGAGAATTATGCTGTAGTTTTTGTGAAATTTTGCCTGTTTTCTTTTGTTAGTTTCCAATTTAAGGACAAGTAAAAAGGTCTCTGACTATATAATGTGTTAATTAATTATTTCTAAAAGAGATCAATTTGCATTTCTGCATATCCTCCATTCAACTTGTTTAAATCTTTAAATTTAGGTTGCATATATTAGTAAGTTTGCTTATATTTATCTGGCTTTCATGTCATAATCTTTTACTTTCGTTGAACATTTCAGCATCCCCATGTACATTTTACTGTACTTGTCGGAATGGACATGTTAAGGCAATCAAATCATCAACACTGTTAGATAATCATTGTGACAGTCAAAGTACACCTCATGGTAATTTAAAAGATATTCTGACATCAATTGATGACATAGGTAAAAAAAGACAGCACTTAAAGAATCAGGTTAAAGTCAAAGAAGAAAACATACAGCAGCTTGGCATAGCATCATACCTAAATACCTGTAATGCTAATCTGTCAAAAGAAATGTCATGTAATGAAGGAAGGCGATTTGATGTAAGAAACATGTCTACCAAGTCACCATTTTCTGTTGTTCTTATGCCAAGAACACAAGTTACTAAAGATAATGAAGTGATTGATATGACTGTTGAGATAGTTAATCAGATGGCAGTGAAACCTTCAGCAGATTGGACAATTATCGTATCCGTAGTTACCTTAACTAGCAATGATACCATCTTGAATGCGTCTGTTAAAATTGATAAAGAGTGGAAAGAAAATGAGAAAGTGAGTGTTCCAATCCAAATAACTTTCAAACAAATATTGTCAATATGTAAACTTGTTGTTAAAGCAGTTCTTGCAATAGAAAAGAGTGGTAAGCAACAGCATGGAGACAAAGAGTGTAGTGGTATACAACATATAAGTATTCCAATATATGAAAAAGATATTGATATAATAGACTGTTTGACACCTGTATCAGACAATGTCAATGATTGTATGGCGAAATATGCATCCATATCAAATGCAATGATGACAGATCAGACGAAGAATCGAATGCAGAGGCTAAAATTGTCAACAGCAAATAATGAAGGTGTGTATGCAAATGACTTTTTGTTTCCTTTTATCTTCATTTACATTTTTATACCTCTACAAGTTTAGGGGGCATAAAGGTGTCATTTTGTCTGTAGGTAGGTTGGTCTGTCGGTCCACTTTTTGGTTTCTGGACAATGAATAGAGTTTTGAATCATAAATGAGTTATTGTAATCAATTTTGATATATAGCAACCTTATGTGGAAACCCTAGTTGGAATTGGACAATCAATAGAGTTTTGAATCATCCATGAGTTATTGTAATCAAGCGGTTAAGGTCACTGCTATTAAAAATAGAAAAAAATGTTTATGGACAATAACTAGAGTTAGGAATGAGATATTGTAAATAGTAAGAGACCCCGATTGGTATTGCTTTTGGACCCCCTGGAGTCAAGGTCACCTTTACTTAAAATAGCAAAATGATTTTCAGATAATTACTAGAGTTAGAACTGAGTTATTGTAATCAAAGTTGATATAAAGCAAGCTTATTTGAAATCCCCCGTTGGTATTGCTCTTGGATCCCCTGGGGTCAAGGTCACTGATGCTAAAAATAGAAAAATGGTTCCAGATGAAACTAGAGTTGGCAATAAGATATGGTAATCAAACTTGGTATTTAGCAAACTTATAAAGAGACCTATATTGGGATTGTTGTTGGACCCCTTTGGTTCAAAGTCCAGGTCACTGTTACTCATAATGGAAAAATGGTTTCTTGAAGATATGCAATTGATTGTTATAATTTTTGGTACACAGATGAAACGTCATAAATTATAGGATGGGTCAGACCTCATATTTTTCAAAAAAAAGGTAAGGTTGCTGGTGAGAGGACAGTATGATTCACCTTTAGTGATAGCTCTACTTCATTTTAACCAGAAAGATTTATATTTAGCTCACATGAACACATTGCTTGTACGACACCAACCTTTTGGACATGTTATCACTTCTTATGAGGAATTTCATTTATTTTAAATTATTTTGGAATAACAAATTTAACTATATTGTGATTTGTCTAGCCTATTTGTTTATTAATACACATGCCATTGCCTGACACTTTTACATACAAATCTTTCATTCCTTCAAGACCAATATCTGTGATAGGTGTTTTTATCCCCCGCCGAGAAGGCGGCGGGGGATATAGAAATAGTCTCCGACCTTCCTTCCGACATTTTTGTCCGGAGCATATCTCAAAAGTATTTGGGTATCATTGAGGAGGAGTGCAGTGCACAAGAATGATAACTCTACCCTGCATAATTTTTGAGTTATTGCCCTTTGTTATTTTTAAAATTAATTTTTGTCCAGAGCATAACTCAAAAAGCCTATGAGATATAAACATGAAACTTCATAGGTGCATAGATCTCACTCAGGAGGTGTGCAGTGCACAAGAATGATAACTCTACCTTTCATAATTTTTGAGTTATTGCCCTTTGTTATTTTTCATACTTAATTTTTCACCCGAGTGGAGCATAACTCAAAAAGTGTTTGAGATGTCAACATGAAATGTCATAGGTGGATAGATCTTTTTGAGGAAGAATGCTGTGCACAAGAATGATAACTCTTCCCTATATTATTTTTGAGTTATTGCCCTTTGTTCTTTTTCATACTATTTTGTCCGGAGTTTATCTCAAAAAGTATTTGAGGTATCAACTTGAAACTTCATAGGTGGGTGGATCTCCTTGAGGAGGAATGCAGTGCACAAGAATTATAACTCTACCTTGCATAAGTTTTGAGTTATTGCCCTTTGTTCTTTTTCAAAATTAATTTTTGTCCAGAGCATAATTAAAAGGCCTGTGAGATATCAACATGAAACTTCATAGGTGCATAGATCTCACTCAGGAGGTGTGCAGTGCACAAGAATGATAACTCTGCCTTGCATAATTTTTGAGTTATTGCCCTTTGTTATTTTTAAAATTAATTTTTGTCCAGAGCGTAACTTAAAAAGACTTTGAGATATCAACATGAAACTTCATAGGTGCATAAATCACACCCAGGAGGTGTGCAGTGCACAAGAATGATAACTCTACCTTTCATAATTTTTGAGTTATTTCCTTTTGTTATTTTTCATACTTAATTTTTCACCTGAGTGGAGCATCACTCAAAAAGTGTTTGAGATGCCAACATGAAATGTCATAGGTGGATAGATCTTATTGAGGAGGAATGCTGTGCACAAGAATGATAACTCTTCCCTATATAATTTTTAGCTCACCTGAGCATGCTCGGGGTGAGCTTTTAGGATCGATGATTGTCCGTCGTCCGCCGTCCGTTCACATTTAGTTGTAAACACTCTAGCGGTCGCATTTTTGCCTCAATCATCATCAAACTTGGTCAGGATGTTTGTCTAGGTGATAGCTCGGATGAGTTCGAACATGGGTCATCTCAGATGAAAAAGAAGGTCACCAGAGCTAAAAATAGAAAAACCTTGTTAACACTCTAGTGGTCACATTTTTGCATCAATCATCATCAAACTTGGTCAGGATGCTTGTCTAGGTGATAGCTCAAATATGTTTGAACATGGGTCATCTCGAATGAAAAACTAGGTCACCAGAGCTAAAAATAGAAAAACCTTGTTAACACTCCAGCGGTCACATTTTTGCCTCAATCATCATCAAACTTTGTCAGGATGCTTATCTAGTTGATAGCTCGGATGAGTTCGAACATGGGTCATCCTGGATGAAAAACTAGGTCACAAAAGCTAAAAATAGAAAAACCTTGTTAACACTTTAGAGGTCACAATTTTGCCTAAATCATCATCAAACTTGGTCAGGATGTTTGTCTAGGTGATAGCTTGGATGAGTTCGAACATGGGTCATCCTGGATGAAAAACTAGGTCACCGGAGCTAAAAATAGAAAAATCTTGTTAACACTCTAGCGGTCACATTTTTGCATCAATCATCATCAAACTTGGTCAGGCTGCTTGTCTAGGTAATAGCTTGGATGAGTTCGAATATGGGTCATCTCAGATGAAAAACTAGGTCACAGGAGCTAAAAATAGAAAAATCTTGTTAACACTCTAGTGGTCACATTTTTGACACAAGTGTCTTTAAACTTAATCAGGATGCTTGTCTAGGTACTTGCTCGGATAAGTTCGAACATGGGTCATCTCGGATGAAAAACTAGGTCACATGAGCTAAAAATAGAAAAACCTTGTTAACACTCTAGTGGTCACAATTTTGACTCAATTGTCATCAAACTTGGTCAGGAAACTTGTCTAGGTCATTGCTGGGATTAAATCGAACATGGGTCATCTCAGATGAAAAATTAGGTCACAGGAGCTAAAAATAGAAAAATCTTGTTAACACTCTAGTTGCTACTGTTTTGATCCAAGTATCCTGGAAATTGGTTTGAAAGTTTGTTTGGATGATTTCTAAGTCAAGTTTGAATATGGGTCACCTGGGTAAAAAACTAGGTCACACTGCTCAAATATGGATAATCCTTGTTAACACTGTAGTGGTCACATTTTTGACTCACCTGTCATGAGACTTGGTCAGAATGCTTGTCTAGGTAATTGTTTGGATGAGTTTGATGGGTCAGGTGAGCGATCTAGGGCCATCATGGCCCTCTTGTTGAGTTATTGCCCTTTGTTTTTTTTCATACTATTTTGTCCGGAGCTTATCTCAAAAAGTATTTGAGGTATCAACTTGAAACTTCATAGGTGGATAGATTTTACTGAGGAGGGGTTCAGCACACAAGAATGATAACTACCCTGCATTATTTTTCAGTTATTGCCCTTTGTTATTTTCAGCCATCAGAATTCACATAGGTTTCAAATCTGTAATCACTTCAGCCATCAGTTTTCATTACCAAAAGACCTCTTAAAATTGAATTATTTTGCTCTACTACATAAACATTCTACCAATGAGCAAACACATTCGGCGGGGGATGGCTATGTTGACATTGCTCTTGTTGTATCGGCTAGATGACAGACATGATTTGGTCTAACCCCTTTCCAGAAATATACAGGAAAAGACCTCTGACTGTATGTTCTTAAGGTCAAGATAACATTCATATACGTTATAATTGCTACATTTGTTCCGTTTTATATCAAAACCACTTTTCTTGCATGCATAATCATTAAGAAATGTGATCCAAATTTTATTCAAAAGGGTAAAAAGAATTAAGATACGCCCAAATTTCTAATATTTTACCAAGAACTATACCCTGATATGCCAAGCCAAAATAATAGGAATGTCACTGCTTACCTTCACATCCAAAGATTTATTGAACATACATTATGTAAATGTATTTAATGTAACGGGTTCTATTACATCGCCAAGACAATCAGCTTTTAGTAAATCATTGATTTTGAGGAAAAGACCTTAATAAGCATTGTATACTTTTGGATCTGATCCCTTTACATCATTGTTTATCATCCCCCGCCAATGGAATCAGGAAGGGGATATTGTTTTGCGTTGTCTGTCCGTCCGAATTTCATTTCCGCGCTACTTCTCTGCAACTTCTTGCACGAATTCAGCACAATTTTATGGGAACCTTCAATACAAAGAGGATATGCGCATATCGTCGCTTTGTTCCAGTCAGATCCTTTTACTTAGAGTTATGGCCCTTAATTAGTTATGCAGTATGCATATAGAGCAATAATCGTTTCCGCACTAATTTTCTGCAACTACAGACTGGAATTTAAAGAAACTATGGGAACCGTCAATACCAAGAGGAGATGTACATATCGTTTTGTCTGGTCAGACTCTTAACTCAGATTTATGGCCCTTTATTAGTTATACAGTAAGCAAATAGAGCAATAATCGTTTCTGGGCTATTTCTCTGCAACTACTGGCTGGAATTCAATGAAACTTTATTGGAACCATCAATACCTAGAGGAGATGCCCATACCGTTGCCTTGTCCCGGTCAGACCCCTTATCTTAGAGTTATGGCCCTTGAGTAGTTATGCAGTATGCATAGAGAGCAATAATCGTTTCCGCGCTACTTATCTGCAACTACAGGCTGGAATTCAACAAAACTTTATGGGAACCTTCAATACCAACAGGAGATGCA